CCGTTCCAGACCATGAAAGCATCACCTTCTTTGCATCCTCCATTCCATTTCAGTCGTCACTGTATTGCTGCTCTCGTCTTAACCTTGCACTTATTATGATCATATATCCTACCCGTTAATTATCGTGGGTCTCGTTTCTCATTACAACCAACGAGCTCGAGAGCAAAATTTGATAATGTTCTCAGTGTTATGAAGCTCAAAAACAACTTTTTACCCTCGGATCACTGTCCAATAATTTTGGTGGCACGGAAGAATAAGTAACTTCGTAATTTATCCGTTAGCTTGAGATTTATCCGCTGGAGTCTCAATAAGTGGTGATTCTTGTACTCCGTTTCTCGAACATTATACGATGAACAATGGAAGACCGTTACTTTGGCTTCTATGCCTTTCGATAAATATAATTGTGTTCCCTCACTCCTATTTGAGCAAATCTGTACTAGTGCTGACTCTTACGGCTGACCTTCACACCTGGCTCAGGGGAAGGTTTCATCCAAAAAAAATCCTGGATTGCCACAGTGTCAAACCATCTTATGAAATTATACGGGTCGAAGAACTGTAAATTTTGTTACCCTAAAGACCTGTCGATTTCTCCCATCAGTTCTCACCATTGGTTACTCCTAAATTTGTTCCTCTATGTTGGTTCAGCACTTCTCAATAGCTCAAATTGAGAGTCATCAATCTCCGCAGCTTGCATCTGTCCATCAGTTTACGTCTGCCCTGTCTGTGAGTATATGCGAATTGCTGTTAAATCAAGTTGATTCTGGTGAAGATCTCCGATTTGCCGCCATAATTCCTACTAGCTATGAAGAGCAATTTATGTTCCAACAAGGCAAGACAGAATTTGCAGGTTCTTAAACGCAGGTTGAGCATAATATCTCTTTGCTAACCTCTTAAAATCTTGATTGGAGTTAAGAGGATGAGAAAGCCAAAAATGGGCTCCGTGATAACCTATTAATTTCAAGTTCAGTGTTTTCAGGAACCATTCATTACAGTCTGCACCTACAAGCGTACAACAAATCGAGCATGATTCTTGTACATAAAGCGAATGACTCAACGATCCGTCCTATACAGTTTGCTGTCTCAGGAAGTTCATGAAAATTCTTGATATCACAAAAGGCTTTTATAATTACGATATAGGAGAAATACAGGGCCACTGGGTTCACATTGACGTGTAGCAGCAATGTAGTAGCAGGTCGGTCAATGCGGTCTTTTGTTAACGGCATGACATTACTTATAGCTGAGCAATTTACGACACCCAACGGCACTTACTCTTACTCGTTCAATTTGTGGGTTTCGTCAGAGCCTGATCTTTCTTGATCGGCTTTTGACTTTTGTACAAGTTCGCATTGACGTCATTACCCAAAAAAATTCTTCATTTAGTAAGGCCCAGAAACAATGTGCCAAAAAAAGGCGTGAGCTGGAAGACGGGTCAAGTAAAACTTGAAGCTTCTGAAGCCCTGAAAGCTTGACTAATCATGATGTCGTCAATAAAAGAATTTCTCGGTATACTCGATCGACGGCCCTGGAAGAGGAATTGTATCAATCTATTTTCGGAATGCTAAGTACAAAATCCGAGCATCGGGGGTGTTTTTTGCGTCACAAGAAGCAGAACGTTCTCCGTTCATCGCTTGAGAAATCTCGAAAAAAGGTTTGTTACCCAGCTTTGACCTGTCGTCAAGTAGTAAATATTTAAATTCCTAATATCCTTCATGTTTTAGTCTGGAACCTCTACTAATTACTAGATATAGTTATTAGAATCCTGCAGTTCACAAGAATTTAGATATTTTTGGCCAATGATTGATAATCACCTATCCCGAGTAGCATAGAGTCTCCAACGAACAAGGCTAATGATTAGGGACTAGGAACTGCTTCATGAAAATTCCCCCGCTTCATCGCTCACAAGCAAGAGAAGATGTAGGACTAAACTTTGTCTACTTATCCCATGGTATTCACTTTCGTTATCCATCAAATACGGTACCTAACTCTCGAGCCATCGGAATGGATGTCTTTCCCCAATGGAAATCGAGTTCAATCGAGTAACGAGATTCTTCTGGATAACTACCGCCGGACCCGAAATTTTTTGTGCAAGAGTCTTCCCACCACTAAACCGGGTCCTGGTACATGATATGCGACTTGCTACGTATGTGTTGATCAAAATTCCGAGTACTACGTATAAAAGCTAGGCTCACTTGTCCTCTTTCAACTGTGGAGCTTCCCCAAGTCCTCTTCTACCTTGTTCCTCAGTTGCGTCTTGGATATCTCGTGCGGCCATGAAGATCGCTTACTTCTCAGTAATAATCGGACTCGCCGTGCACTCTGCTCTTGCTGTTAGCACCAAGCAAGTCAAGCCTCGAAGGACAACTTCCATCCTCATTAGTAGGTCATTCTCTTGTAGTAGTGAAATGAATCTTATCTCAATCGGTTTCTTTTTTTAGACAACGACGCCCAACCAGACTTGCCTGCGAGCAGTGACAATACAATTTCGACGGCAAGCGATGTCGGTCTCAACCTTGACGACATTCAAGGCGACATTCTGTATGTTTTTTGTGTTTTTGTCGATGTGGATGACTCGACCTGGAATCTCATAATCGACTAACTTTATGTTTTGTTTCTCAGGATTGGTATGAAAAAGAAGAAAGAACTGTTCCTTTTCTTCTCCATCAACGATACGGCAACCTTTAAATCCAAGTTGGCTTCTGACATCCAGCCACTCGTCACTACAACCAACCAGCTCCTCGCCGTCGACACTCAACCTACCACAGCTCTAAATATTGCCTTCTCAAGAAGCGGTCTCACAGCTTTGAACGTCACTGACGATCTCGGCGAATCGCTGTTCAACGATGGCCAGTTCGCCGACGCTGAAGCCCTTGGGGATGTCAAAGACAACTGGGCTCCCGGTTTCGCCGGAACTAGTGTTCATGGTGTTATTCTACTTGCATCGGACACGGACGACAACGTGAATGATGAATTGTCGAACGTCCAAAACATTCTCGGGGAATCTATCACTGAAATTCATCGTGTTAGTGGAGCTGCCCGACCTGGTGATCAAGAGGGTCATGAACGTAGGGGCTCAAATTTATTCCATCTAGCTTATACTCATTTCATTCCATAGACTTTGGCTACATGGACGGAATCAGTCAACCTGCCGTCGAAGGTTTCACTTCTAACGTCCTTCCAGGTCAAGCTCTCATCGTCGCCGGTGAATTCATCCTCGGTGCAAGTGGTGACAACACCACGCGTCCTGATTGGGCCCAAGGAGGTTCCTTCCTTGTCTTCCGTCAGATGCAACAAAAAGTCCCCGAATTCCAAAAATTCGTCCTCGACAACGCTCTCAGCGTACCCGGACTGACTCGGGATGAGAACGCTGATTTGTTTGGTGCTCGTCTCTTTGGAAGGTGGAAGAGTGTAGGTTTTATTTTCTTTCTCCCACCACTATCGATATCGTTTCTTTAACGAGTTGCTGATCATACCTTAGGGAGCCCCTATCGATTTGGCACCGCTCCGTGATGATCCCGATCTAGCTGCTGACAACACAAGGAACAACAATTTCACTTACGACCATCCCGAAATTGCAGGCTTCGACATTGCCACCAATCAAACCAACTGTCCATTCTCAGCACACACTCGTAAGACTCGCCCTCGCGCTGACTTTGGTACGGAGGAGACAGCTCGCCACATTATTCGTGCTGGGATCCCTTACGGTCCTGAAGGTACGCACTTCGTTTCGTGTATGTATTATTGTCAAAGTTCATCATCTGAAACTCTACCTCCGTTCCCTTCTAGTCACTGACGCCGAGAGTGCATCAAACACCTCCAGCACCGACGCATCTCTTGAACGTGGTCTTGCATTCGTTGCCTATCAATCAAGCATATCGAATGGATTCCACTTCGTGCAACAGTCTTGGGTTAACAATGCCAATTTCTTCTTTGGCAAAGCCGTTCCGTGAGTAATGATTCTTTTTCGCGTTGTCGGATATGTCGGATAACTGAACACTATATTTCTTTCCAGACCTGGCGTTGATCCCATCATAGGTCGTGTCCAAGACTCCGCTTTTGACACTGCGCGTACTGTTTCTGGCACAAATCCCTTGAACACCAGCGAGACAATTACTTTGGACACTGGTATGAAAGATTCTCTCCTTCATCTACGTCCGTCCTCACTGATTACCAAAAAAATCCAACTTGTTTCGAACAGAATTTATCATCAATCGTGGTGGAGAATACTTCTTTTCACCTCCCATTTCAGCACTTAGCGGCAAGCTTGCTGCTTAAATGCAACGTATTGCAATGACATACATAAAAAACGTAGATCTGATACCCTACATTGTAATGAACTACTTGGGATTTCTCTTTCCCGGGGTCTATTTATTCCAGTTCTTATGTTCTATTTTACATTACAATACCGTTGTTTTCAAAAGATTTACGTCCTTTCGTGGACAAGAGCTTCGTTGTTCTCACCTAGAAATAACATATTCTTTGGTCCTCTCAAGATGCAGTTTGTCCAAGTAGCTGAATAGGGAAGTAGTTCGCGATGAGGACATAGTCCAGGCCCTCATTTTCCAATTGCATTTTTCTCCAGGCGGAAGTTGGAGTACTTAATCGAATTGATCTTTTGCGCAAACTATCTGTGTTTTTCAAAGATCTTCATGACGTCGACATTCGGATCCGAGCACTGTGGTCCTGCATCAGATATGAGCGCTGGCGCTGAGCATCGATCAGGCTTCACGTACGATGTAAGCTCTTTTAAATCGACCTTACTCGGGTTTGAGATGGGGATATTGAAAAATGACAAAACAATAAAGACGGACAAGTGGATTCTTGACCCGTGGTCGCCTGATTCTGCGAAGGCAGCGGAGTCCGGAGGGTATATGAAAGCCACAATCATTGCTCCATCAACTACGGATACACGGTTCCGTGTCCTCGATGTGTTACCCGTGTAATCCTGTCTGTATACCTCCCCCCAGTACAGAGCCTGAATCTGAATTAACTAGATAAAACATTGGACGTTCAGGGGATTGAACCCTGGACCTTATACAGGAGGGTGCAAGAAAGTCTTGCAAAGCATACGCGCTACCACTGCGCTAAACGCCCATGTCGAAAAGGCGGATACGAGTTCCATGGGCTATGTGACCTAACAGCAGTGAAAATTTCTTAAATGGACAAGCTGTTAGACAGCAACAGCTTACTTGCCACTAACTAAAGCTAAATTGAGTGCATCGCCATTTACAGCCCGTATCATGATATCTACAGCTATCTAAACGAGCATCTGAAACTAAATCAAAATCATACACGTATCCGGAGCATAAGGTCCACCTTCTGTCACGTAACTCACGTTTGCTGTTAATTGACCTTTTATGGCTACTTCCGTAAAACAAAAGGTTCTACTCCCTCTGACTTGATAAGCGCTTTCCATAATTGACGCCACGAGATCGGGTTGCCCTGATAAGGTTCCATGATAAGAACGCAGAACAGATGTTACAGAAAATCAAGGTGGGCAAAAAAAGCGGCCAGGAAAGACGAAGATAAAGCAAGAGAAAAACGAACAAAGATCAAATCAAAAACAATGAACAGGGAAGGCTGAAGAGTTCACTCACAACATCTCTCTGCATAAGGCAGAAACTTCCTTCTACTTTATTTCCCTTTCTCTCAAACGAGAAGTCCTCGAGCTCGACCCATCCTTTGAAGATCATTTTTCGTCTATCGTGGCCGCCTACACGAAGTTTGAGAGCTTGACAATATGAACGGTTAGGCAGGTAATAAAAGAGTAAATTTCTACTAAAAGGAACTAACCGGAGCCTGAACCTAGTATATTAGAGTCCTTCACCTTAGCCCCCATCGCCTCCAAAGCGTCTTTGATCCGCGTATAGAGTTGAGCGGGAGGAAGTGACGAGTAGAACCTCGTCAGATGAGGTGTGTATCGGGTACCATTCTGAGTTTGAGACTGTAAAGAAAAGAAAAGCTTAAACGCGGTGAATCGGGTGAAAGAGGGATGAAAAACACACAAAAAGCATCAAAGATTGTGTAAATTGCGATTGGTGGTATGTCCCTGCTCCTGTTTGTGCGTCACCCATCTCGACATCCCCATCTTGATCCACCATTCCAGCGCCAACAGCGACACCCAGATCACCGCAAACTCTTAGACCTTCTGTAAGCTTATCAGCTAATTCTGTCACTGAGTTCCTGACAAGTTGAGATGGACGCATGCACCAAGGGTGAGCTTTGGCTTGAGATATGTTGATTCGTTTGGAAGGAGAAACGGTCAAGAGTGCACAGAGAAGGGCTATTAGGACACGGTTCTAACATTAGCACATAACGAAGCACGAAAGCATAGAAAACTTACATAGCGCATCTTGATTAAATCGATTCCAAGGATCCTCGTCAAATATCTCTCCAGCAATATAAGCATTCCATTCAGGACTTCTAGATGTTGGTTCATCCCAGGGAGTGTCTAATGTGTATGCATGCAGTCACCGTAAAAAAAAGAATTTAAAAGGATCCTAGACTCACTTCCAGCTAACAAAGTAAATAAAATAACCCCTATTCCCCATACGTCGATAGGTTCTGCCGCGTAAGGTTGACTGCCGCTCAACTTGAGTTTTACCGTCAGTCATAAGATTCCAATTAGCAACGAACAAACGTACTTCGGGAGCTGCATAAGGCAGACTTCCACACCTTTCGGTCAACATCCTTGTTTTACCGCTTTCTTTTAGCTTGTAAACCGAGGAAAGTCCAAAATCGGATATCTTGAGTGTACCAGCGGCATCTAACAAAAGGTTTTCGGGCTTGAGATCTCGATGACAGACACCTTCTCCATGAATGTATTCCTATAAGAAGGTAAGCTGGAAATTTTGACAAGAAGAATAGCTCATACCATCCCATCGAGAAGTTGATTAAAATATAGATGAGCTATGTCATCCGCTACACCTATATCGGGGGCTACGAAGGTTCAGAATCTTGACACCTGTTCAACAGCAGGCAGGCTACTCACCGATCTTATCGAACAAATCACCTCCTGCCGCGAGTTCCATTAGCACATAGATCCCAGGCTGATACATTGCTTTATGTTTAGCTTCTACGACGACAGCATTGATAAATCGTAGAACATTTTGATGGTGAAGCACGGAATGGATTCGCATTTCCTTTTCAATGGACTTTCGTTGAGTTTCCGAGGTTTCATCTGAGAGAACAATGACTTTGCATGCGGCAACGCGGTGTTCGGAGAGGTTCACAGCACGGTAGACGCTATTAAAGCAAAATAAAATTAAAGAATTTCCGTTGATAAGAATGACTTACGTGGCGAACCCACCGCCCCCAATCTGCTGTACGAGGTCGAATCCTTCATATTGGTAACAATGAGAAGATACAGCTATAACATAGCACTAGGAAAACATACCAGCGACTTTAGGATGTTTGGCGCTCATCGTGGCATAGAAACAGAAGGAGACGCGTGAGATTTCCGTGTCTCATTTCACGAGAAGTCACGGTCAGGTGACTTTCGTCAATTCACTCGCCTCTGACTCACACCCAAGTCACATTGCGTCGGCACCGACTTTCCCAACTCGAAGGACACGTTATGCATTCCCTCACATTTGGACGGTTGGAAGTCGAATGCGTCTACTGAGTACATGGTATCTTATCTCCAATTCGAAAGTTGTGTCTTATGGGCGTTTAGCGCAGTGGTAGCGCGTATGCTTTGCACGGCCTTCCCGGTCCGGCACCTCCGTGCGTCCCGTTTCCTCCGCTCGTCGCACCTTCCCTGCTGGCTGTCCGACATCGACCATGTGATTCGTCACCTGCCTGGTGCAGATGGTCATCGACCATTTCTCCCAAGCGATGAACACATCTCAGTGGACTCGGTCAATGCGCTGATAAAATTGGTAAAGAGGATCTCAAGTGAATGGTTACTTTCCCAAATCAACACATTCAGTCGTTTATCACTACTCCGAGATCGGGTGGAACCTGTGGACCCAAAGAGTGACACCAGACCCTCCTCTCCTGTACTCTGCTTTCGACACTATCTGGTCCAGGTGAAGAACCACCGTCACCGCCGAAGCCTGACTCGCTTGTTGTGTGGTAGTGTGAGCCCTTTCATTTTTCGCAGTGCACCAGGACGTTGTCGCATTGATGGCGATGATTTCGATCGCAAATCATGCCGTTACTGTAACTCTACCTATGAAACCCCGGAACACATTCTACTCCAGTGCAGTTCTCCAACTTTGGTTGGTATCATTGGTCTGCGTACAGAGTTGCTAAATTCGCTGAACATCTCGACTGCGACCGCACGCTCCGAGGCTGAGTCATTCCAGTTACTGAAGTTCCTGATTTTTGATTGGGAACGGGTCTCTGTCACGGCGAAGTTTATTCACGAGTGTTTGAAGTTGTGGAAAGACTTAAATGGTATGGCACGGTTAGATGAATCACCAGAAGATGAACGAGAGTAGTCTACACTTTTTATTTACTTATTGCTTTTACTTCGCCCCCTCTCAGTGGCAGACTTTTTCCTCACTGAGGTTTTTTAATGTCTCCCTGATGAGGCCCTTGATTGTTACTGTTTTTTTTCTCTTCGATTACTCTCTCGTCTCTACTACATCCCGTGTTTACCATTACTGCACGTATCTCGCAGTACCGTAGCTACAGGTGTCCTACTTATACCTCGTAGCACCGGGCGGCAGTTGAGTAGACGGTCTACCGCGCGCTTGCCCCTACTGAGCTGTCGTCACCGGGTGAACCTTTATGGTTCCGCGCGTCATTTATGTATGCGTTACCCGTGTAATCTACCTACCTACCTACCTCCCTGTATAAGGTCCAGGGTTCAATCCCCTGAGCGTCCAAAGTTTTGATCGAGACTAGCACACCTTGACTAGCACACCTTGATTTTGCTATCATCGCATGCATACCTTCGGAGCTTAAGCATTAACGAACCCTGTTGAGCCACGCCCAGATTAATGGTATGAAAGACAAGATGTACCGGTATGCGTCGCTGTTAGTTTTGAAGACAGCATTCTTAAGTGCTTTCAAGGCGAAGAAAAACCAATCTTGTAAGAAGTAACCAGAGGACGGTTCATGGAGATTTCAGGTGGCTGAAGACTGCTTATATTTTGCTGTGAAGATGATCGACGGGAAGTTTATTTGTTATATTTGCTTTCGTGCTTCCGTAAGGTTTTCAGTTCAAAGACAAAATCAATTCCAATCGAAAATAGTCCATTACGAAGTCGACTTTAGGAGGACTCATCTTTACTTGGACTCCGAGTCACGGAGGTGGCAATGCTACTCTCATCCGGCAGCTCGGCGTCTGGATGTCATCAAGAATGTTGTCATCGGATGATGTATACCGAAGTTGGCCATTGGTTTGTACCGCCGCGCGAAGCAAGTTGCAATGATACCTTTGATATATTATTGGCTATATATGTATATACAACAAGAGGGTGCAAGAACCTGTAATTCCTCTGGAATTACAGTGACATTATGGTGGAATCATGAATTGGCAACATGTCTGTAATTCCAGTGAACTTACAGGGTGACTTTACAAGTTGAAAATTTCCATATATGGGCAAAATCTCACTGTAAATTATCATTGTAATTCCACTAGAATTACAGACATGTAGGCAATTCATAATAGGTGACTTCCCGTAAGAGTGTTCTAAACTGAGTGCACATAATCCTGCACTAAAACCTGAATGCGCGGAAGGATGCTAAGCGAAATTAGCCGAGGTTTTGTGCAGCATTTGTGGTTCGGAAAGGCCTCTGGACCCCTTTCTAAACTGTGAACAGCGCAAAAATCAAATTCCGCTTGTTCGGCAAACAGCTCATTTAGGATTATTTTCGTGCAGGTGTGTCCTAAACTCTTATGGGAAGTCATCCAATTCCTCTGTAAATTTACTGTAATTCCAAAAACTTACAGGTTATTGCACCCAGTGAATTTGCACCTTCGCGATAGATTGATCGTATCAGACTTTTCAGGAACCTAATTTTGAGATTTGCTCAACGTTCCAGCTTAAAACACATTCTCTTAGGCAATAAAAACTACGAATGTCCTTCAATCCAGAACATTTCTTACCTCGATGTTATGCCTTCGTTGTCCCCAAATTTGT